TTTAAGGACATGCATATTATCATTTATACAAAAAAAAAAGATAAATATTGTCATTTATACATGCACATAGGACATGTAATGCATGTCATATTTTTTTCTTTTGTTGAAATATAAAATTTGTGTTCATCAACCAAAACAAATATTATAAAATTTGGGAAAGCTGAAACGGAAATGTAAAACAATCCTAAAATATGGCAAAAAAAAAACCAAAGCATCGAGTAAACATGTGGATGAGTTGCTCATCCACTAGATTATTATCATTATTTAGGCACACATACACTAGTAGATGTAATGTTACCAGATATTATAGTTAGTCAACAATCCCATTTTATTGCACTGGCATATTGGATCCACTTATTTATTTTTGATAAATTTGATAAACTAATTTAACAAAATTTGAAAAACACAATATATATTTTTAATTACATATATAAATATAAAAAATGAATATTTTGGTTAAAAAAAACCAAACCCTCACCATCTCTCCAACACTTGAGAAGGACATAATCCGGCATCTACAGTGTAAAAAATGTGCATGTGATAAAAAGCCTAAAAATATCCTTTTTTTTTATAACTCATGATAAATCCAATGTTTATGGCCAGATAATCTCTAGGAGAGGTGCAATCCATGGATAAATTCTTTTTCCAAATATACAAATGGGCCGAAAGCAAGTGCTCATATCCATGTGGATATCCAGAACAATGTGATTTAATTTCGCACAGCAGGTGCATTGAATCTGGAACGTGTTGGCATCTCATTCCCGTCTTCTTACCACTTGACCACAGTGTCCCGGACAAAATGTCCTACTTCACCAAGTTTCTTCCAAGAAATTTTATACGTTGCAAAAGATTTTAGATTTTTATATACAAAACGGGAGTTAAGCAAGGAAACAAAATACAGGGATTTTTAAATCGTCTGCTAGTTAATATATACTTGTGTGAATTTTGGAGAAATAATAGACGAGATAAACATAAAAGCATATAGACAAGCTCTCATGTTGTCACATAATTAAAAACGTTTTATTTAGCAAAAAAAAAAAAAAAACGTTTTTGCAGTTTTATAGAATATCTACGCTCTATTTAAACAAATGACAATTGATTACATTGCCTTAAAAACAAAATGAGACGTAAATAACTGAATAAACCATTCTCATTTCTTTTGTACCATTCTCATGGTGAAAAACTATTTCATTGAGCCAATTCCTTATAATATATAGATGTTTACATTATAGCTCTAATCCAGTTTGAATCATTCCGGCGAAGACATGTCTAAATACGAAATGGTTTAATTAGTTGAGTCCAAATTAATTAGGGCTCTGTCTTTGCCAATTAGAATGAAGAACTTAGGATTTTTTTCTCAAATTGAGAAAAT